AGAAATAATCTTTAATCAAATAAACTTAATACAAGTACTTTTGCTTGCTCTTTTGAATAAATGTTGTTTTAAATAAATACACATTAACAAGGATGAGGCATGCAACAATCAACATAGAATGGCTACGCACTCATTATTATATTATACATATAGTTAATATGTATTTATCTAAAATAATTAGATAAATTATAAATCTTATTATTTAAAACAACATAATAAGTATTCTGTGTTTGTGAAGAATGGAGTTTTGATAACACACATGCATAATATGCATGTCAAAACTGCATACTTAAGAGTAGTTTTCATAGTAAGGACGCTTTGAGCATGATGACTAGGGCCCTCACAGGACACTGCAAATTAAACAAGCATATGGCTAAACTAGGTCTATGCACGACAAGAATCTGCAGATTCTGCCAAACTGAAGAGGAAACGAAGCTACACATCCTATGTGGTTGTAGCCCACTCATGCATAAACGAAATATCTCCTTTGGAAGGTTTACACTCTTTCCCGAGGAGATAAAAACAATCGCTCCTAGGAATATCCTTCAATTCTTTTCCCTGACGGGTCTAGGTAGCGAACTTTGGAAAAAGGGCGAGCACTATAGATCTATGTAGGCCGCAGTGCTACAGGTGCTACAAACATCTGACAATAGTATAGTTTCGAACTAAATAAACTATTACGAATCCTGACCACACCGGACTATGATCCATACAATTATGTTTCATATATAGTAAACATTGCCGTACGATGTTAGAATGATCGAAATTATACAACGATAACATTGTTTTTGTAATTTTGTATTAATATCATGTTCGTTTACTGTTCTTCAGTTTGGAAATTTTCAAAGTTTCATCTTAAAGTGGTGATGTTACGGGCTTTCTATTGTAGTGTCTTGAAGTCTTGACCTCGACATAGGTGTCTAAAACATTTGAAACTACATTAACGAAATGAAAATATAAAATTGGTAATTTTGTGTTATTTATTATCTATCCAATATAAATGTATATAAATATATATATATAAGTACATAAATATTGTGAACACATTGATACAGCATCGAACGCCTTAAAAACACTTTTTACTTTAATTTATTCTTAATTACTCCTAACTACTCCCTTTAATGCTAACCTACTTCGACTAACTCTCCGCTCTCTCTCCGCACACCACAATCCATCCTACATCATGAGATGTGATACTCAGTTTCAATAAAAAAAAACGCGGAGGAAGTTATTCGATTGAATGACATTACGCAGGATAGTCTCAATTTACCAATGAAAGTACACGGTTCAAATCTATGTGTTTTATATACCTGAGTTATTTTTGTCAATATTACACTTGTTTCCTTTTAGCTGTTGATACGACACGACTCCAACTTAAAGTAGTATCAACAGCTAAAATGACTGATAGAAGATCGCGGAAGGTGGCGGGAGCTCCACCGACAAGAGCACAGCTCTTAAATTATGAATTAATGAATACACTTGTTTCAAGTATTTTTATATAGCTCTATCTATTTGGCTATGGATTTTATTACACCAGTTATTCGCTAATCTCTCGTTTATTCGTAGTCGAACGAATATAATAATATAGATTTGTGTTGACAATAAACAGAACTGTGAAACCGGTCGGTGAGTCAACCAACAGTGTCCGTTTTCCTGCAGAGATATTGCAAATAAAAGCAACTGAAATGAACACGCGACTAGGAACCAGGGTTGCCAAGGCATTAATTATGTAACTGTGCTTGTAACAATTCCCATTGGAAAGGAATAAAATCTACCATTTTGCATTTATAATAATATCTGAGGACAATTCATACAGTGTCATCTAGTCCCAAGATAAGCAGAGCTTCTGTTATTGTCTTAAGCAGAGTCTTAGGATATTGGTCCTAAGACTCCTGATAGATATATATTTTGTAAATAAATACATAATCATCATACTTATCACTGCCTTGCTTTTATCCCATTATTTAGGGTCGGCGCAGTATGTCATTCTCTCGTAAATAAATACATACTGTAGATAGAAAACAACCAAACCGATACAAACAGTCATACTCATGAATACAATTGTTTGTACCGTGCAGGAAATCAAACCCGCGACCATCAGAAGTAAGGCGGTGTGCTACTGTCTATATATGATGCAATTTCACACAGGACAAAAAAATCGTATGAAAGTTGCCGGTATAAACTGCGATTCTTACATTTTAAATCGTTTAGTAGAGAACAAATGAATTCCATTTAATACCAGACCATCTATATCAGGCATTTTTCTCATATCGAATATAGTGCTCAAATATTGAATGGTTTAGTAAAATACCAAACACCTGGTAACCCTGTTAGAAACAGCCGTTATTGCTACAGGTTTTGTAGGGAAGATATGATTTTCATTTGCATTCTGAGTCATCTAAATTGTATGTAAAAACCATCTACTCTTATTTTGCAGGAAATAACCTCTTATCTAGTCCTCGCTTTCCTGTACTTAAACATTTTTTAGGACTGGAAAAGCTTATGGTACTATTTCACATATAATGTAGCTGTTGCCACTATAGTTACACAGAGGGAGATGGGATTGTTATTACTGTGGATTATTAAACTCATGTTCCCACTGGAAACCATTGTGATAAATTCCTGATGAATTTGCCACGATGGGATAACTGACCTGACCTCATACTCATCTTATCATCTTACACTGGTGCCCTGCCAGCGAATACCATTAGCGAATTAGGTGAATGTACCATTCCAAAATCATCCAAAAATATAATTACACTCATGTATTCAACAGGAATACTTATGTATGTAACAACTAAAACATGAAATTGTAAAACTATTTAAAGAAAGAAAGGAATTATTGCCAAAATTCACTAGTCTAACAATTAAGTATGAACACAAATGATACACTAGCGATTTACGCGGGCAGGGTACCAATGGAGGATGATAAGATGAGCATGATGTCAGGTCAGTTAGCTCAGCTTGATAAATTCCAACCGCATGGAGGTTACATTACTATGTACCATGTCAGGTTGACCTCCATATGGACTTTAGACCCTATTGCTAGTGAGCAATGAGGTCAAGAGTCTATACTACTACTATGCCCCTTCTAATACCCTTCCCCCCAAAATCAGTTCAGTTGTCATGTACATACATCACATAGAATGTCATATCATATCTCATAGGACAATTGCTCAACTAAACAGAATAATGTTTGACCACACTTAGTAATTTATTCTTAATCTAACAGTACAATATTGATGTTCAATAGTGGACCCAAATATATAATTAAATTTTATATTAATAAGATTAAAAAAGAATAAGAGCTTACTTTCTTGTCAGGTTTTAGCTCAAATGCTCTCCGAACTGATGGTAGTTTTTGACATATCGTAACAGTCTACATAACTAAAGATATTTTGATTTGATTTGATTAAAGGAGACATCAATTTACATTTTATTGTATTCCATCCTCACTTAGTATCTTGATTCAATATCAGCCGAACAAGTAGTATCTGACAGGGGGAGATAGTTCATAATAGGGATTAACAATCCTATTGCTAACAATGTCCATATCATGTTAACCTCAACACGGTGCCCTGTGGAACCTATTGTGGTCAATTTCTGGTGAATTCACTATGCTAGGCTAACTGAACTGACTTCACCTTCATCCTATCATCCTCTATTCCTCTCGAGTGTCCAGCGAGGCAAGCAGATGAATCATTCCATATCATTTGAAAGAAAAATCCCATAAAAATAATCATGGACAAACATTAAGAAATCCTGAACAATTTCATTAAAATCTATTCATTGAAATTATTATTTTGTTTTTTACTTTAACATATTAATTTTAGAGTCTTGTGGGAATGAGAATATGAGAAATGGAAGGAACAATGGTGATATATTTCAATAATACATAATTATAAACTTACCTAAAACAAAGACCGAGAATGATCCTACACACACTACACTCCATAAAATATCACCAAACAAAACCACAGAAACAAAGTTAGTAAGTCTCTAAACAATATTTGCAAAGTTCTTTTAAGTATAATGTATATTTGAATCTCACAAGAAGTAAAACATTATTAGCAATGTTGACAAACAAAGTAGTTAGCACTTTTAAAATTCGTTTCAAGTTTGTACTGTTAATATGAATGACGGTAATTGACTGATAACTGACTTCAACTGATTCTATCTGACGTAACCGGTGTGTGGTGTGACCATCATCAAATATTAAAAACGTACTCTATTTCAATTAAGAAAAAGACAATAACTTAGTAGTTATATAAATTTAAAATTAGTATTTTAAATTTAATACAGCGTACTTAAAAAATACCTTTTTATTTAAAGTTTAATTTGGATTAAGAAATAGTCAAAGATTACTATTTTTACTGCTATGTAAAATATTAATAACTATCACTGTATTTGATAATGAATATCCTAGAAAAAAATATGCATTTTTGTAGTTTTGGTAACCAAAGAATTAATGTTTCTTTGGTTACAGTGTGACTTAAATTTAAATTACAGGCAGTACTCGACTTACGTCGTTTCGTGTTACGTCCCGTATTTTGAGAACCTAAGATGCCGTATGTACGAGGAGTGCCTGTTCGCATAAGTTTAATTTATAATACCAATCTTGCCAAATAAGGAAAAAGTAACAGTAATGGTCACACTAACTTCGAACTTGACTGACAGTCGACTGACATTGGCAAGTTTTAGTTTTTTTTTAATTTTCATTGGTTGTATAACGTAGTTCTCAATTACAATTCGGATTTAATATAACCACCGACTACTTGTCTGTGGTTAGATAAAATCCTAAATTGTAATAACTTTATTATTTTTTGAGGTATTAATAGATAAAGCAATTTTGCAGTTATGCTATTTGGTCCACAGGCAAATCTCATTCTCGGAAGCAAACGGGCACATATATTTAATTTTGGTGGTTGCTATAGAAACACTATAACAAACAAATAATTACTATAAATATTACCTACTACAGAATAAGTAAACATAAAAGTATACCTACTTTACTCATTGTATAAAAGGGACTGCTATAGACTGATCTTATTACAATACGTATTTATTATCCTTATCTACTGAGTTACTTGAAATATGACAGAATAGTGTATAATTAAAAAAATGAGTAACATGGCCCGTTGGCTCGACGTGGAAGTAGGCACAGATGAGATCGTGCTGAACACGTTACCATGTGACTTAACTCTGGTGGACCTTCATAATGATAATGAAATTAAACTTCTTGTCGGTGATTTGGGAAAGGGAGAGGAGGGCCCAAAATTGAAGGTATATTTCTATATGCATATTTAAACACGGTATTCGTAATAGGTATGCATATTTTATATAGACATATTTAAATACTGGATTCATTCATGGGTTTGCTTGTTTGTTAGTTATTCAGCACTAAAGCGTCGATTTTATTTGGACGTCTGGTAAGATGAAAGATTCTGAGATACAGTGTTAAAGTAAGCTTAAGATTACAGTCGTATACGACAATCGGACGGATATTTTTGTGGGTACCACAGGGGTTCGAACCTCGGCTCCATCGATCCCCGTTTGAATTGGACGGGGGATCGATCGGAGTGGAGCTTGTATTACGGGTACTGGATAGTTGATATACATATTTTTTTTGTAAATACATACATAATATATACACTGACCGATACAAACAGTCATACTCGTGAATAGAACTGGGTGATGAATCGAACCCGTAATCATCGGAAGTAAGGTGGTATGCTTAACTGCTGGACCACCGGGATCTTCAAGTAGCATTAGGAATAGAAGTCCATACTAAGTTTACAGTCTGCATTCGCCCATATTTTCATGGGCGCTGTACCGACTGTGCTCAACAGCAATAGAATAGTTTGAAATTATACAGTTATATATAAACTGTATTATTTTCAGGTTTTCAAAGGTACATTGCAAGTATCGGATATGGTTCTCCCAGACCTGCCTCTTGGTTTAGTTGGTTTCTACACGAGCGAGTCCGCGCGTTCCCAGCCAACTATTGCCATAGCATTCAGCTCCTGCATACATATGTACCGTAATATGAAGATGTTCTACAAGTATTATCTGCCTACGGTTGAGCTTAGCACATGTGAGATGGAAGTGTGGAGACAGGTAAGCTAATTTCCCTACACGCAAAGGTCTACAAGATATGGTAGTGAGGAAGTTATCAGAATACCCTTTTCTTTTATCTTTTCTATCTCTCTATAATATTATATTTTTAATATTTCATATAATACTATTAGTATTTTTTTTATACAACTTACAAAGACACGAGAATGTACGATTTCTCGGTAGTCTAGCACTTTAGCAGATTGTTTATTTTTTAGAAACTATGGCCGGGTGTTCGATCAATCTAATAAAAAACGTTTTGATTCGATAGTTACATGTATTATGAGATTATTACTAAAAAAAAGTTATATCAATGTTTTAGTAACCACAATAATCATAGACCAACTTTGAGATGTTTTAAAGAGGATGATGAGGATGACACGTATGTATGTATGTATATGTGTTTATTCTTGGAGTACCTAATACATTTGGACTACAAATAGATTACTCAAATCGGAATTTTCAGTTAATGGATCCACAAAACCACAATTCTGAAGTCATGACAACACTCACAGAGAGTCTTAAATCTATCCCAGAAAAAGTACTAACTCCACAATCAAAGAACTTCTTGTCTATGAGTGAAGACCAACAGCTGGATTATTTGGAAAACTTGAACGAGATGCCTAGTAAGAAGATGCCGGAGATAGCTTGTATGGCAACACTGAAGATGCAATCTGTGGAGCGGTATTCAGTTAGCTGTTTGGTTGTTGGGTCTGAAGATGGCGACGTGATAGTATTAGAAACTCAAACTTTCACACAAATTGCTCAGGTAGTACTCATCTAGCTACTCCATGATTCAGGCATAGCTTAGTGTGAGGTCAGAGACAAACTGTTTATCGATATAAAGATTATTCTTAAGGGAATTATATTATGTTCGGTGACCAGACTACTATTTCGCTTACGACACCAAATAGTCAACTAGGTTTCCAAGCTGATATCCGATTTATTTATTGCTCGACGATGTCTCGTTCAGCGGCGAAACATGTGTCACAATATAGGGTAGATTCAATAACGGTCGGAATTTGATCACCTATAGAGAGACTCGTAACTCTTCCAGTAACACATCAACGGGGCTGTTTAACGTTGACTACAGAATTACAATAGCCACAAGGCTACTGGAATAGCGGTGGTCAGGTTTCCGCACTAAATATATTTGTAGAGTCACACATGCTAATAATGGTAGCGTAATTAAACAAAATATTATAAATCCGTTAAGTAATTAAATGGATTTCCGCAAATTAACACCTAATTCTAAAATCCGAATATAGTGTACACTGGCATGGCAGTATGCACTACTGATGATAGAATTAGCATGAAGTCAATCAGCCTTTGAATTAATATATCGATGTAATTAAGAATTCTCATTTGAAATAGTTTAAAATCTGCAATTTTGCAGTTATGATTTTCTTATGTACTTGGAATGACAAGCCTACGTAGCGTTTCAGACCCACCGTATGGTAAGCAATAACCTTCGCCTATTTACATGAACAGCACTATTAACGTCATATTCCAGAGCACTAAGATGTAACCACTTACACTGCAAAATCTCTACCTAATTTGAAGTCCACGACCGAATCACAGCTTACAAAGAAAGTATGTTTGGCGGCTGGAATAGGTGAGGCTGAGGTGCTTATGCAGACGTATTTTTTCCATTTAAGAGGATTTATGGACGGGTTGAGGTTAAACTCCTGCCTGATGTACACGGATGGAATCACTTGTTGACAGTGTGTGCGTAGTATACAGGATGTGCGTAGTACATAGGTACATACGCGCACCCAACAGTCTTCTGAAGAAAGTATAACAATGTTAGATTGTTTTCCTGTGGTTTAGTTTAAACTAACTATAGCTTTAAATAGGTCCCATTGTTTGTCCGAAAAAATACCCGTAGGGACAAATAGGGAGACACTTTCTTGTTTTTTAATAATTAAATCACTTGTACAGGCTAAAGTTTGTTCTGTTAAGAAAACTCCATGGTATATGGTAACAACGGGGCTGTTTAACGTTGACTACAGAATTACAATAGCCACAAGGTGTGAATTTATATTTATGCACTATTTGGCACAAATATTTCGCAATTTTTCTTTGTGTACCGAGAGCAACCACACGAAAGCCAGTGATAGTCATAGTAGTTACGAAGTTAACAGCGATCCCAAAGGACATATAATGGCCTATGACCCAGCAACAGGTCAAAGTAACCAAGTGACGAGTGAGTCTTAGCCGAGTATCGAACCCTTAGCAGTGACTGAAGTCGTATCAGTTAGGCAGGAGGTCTGCAGTCTCTCCATAATCCGGGGGTTTGGAGCGCCTTCAGTACTACGTAGAAAAGCCTTATTTCTATGGTGGGTGGTTTAATGGGTAAAAATCCCTCACACTCACTCGGCACCCCTCTAAAGGGGTTTGTCGTCGTTTGAAGATTATTCCATATGATAAAAAAACGTTGGGTGACCAAAGGAGAGGGTCCTTTTCCTACGTAATTGGAATGGCAATCAAGCTGACGGCTGCCGACCTGACTGTTCAAACCCTAAAATCGCTATATATTTGCGAAGCTATCTTTTTAGCGGCTGAAATAGTTGAGACTGAGGTACCCACGCAAACGACTTCTTACAGTCTACCTCTGCTTACATCTAATATGTAATTAAGTTTAGAACTACCTAATCACACGATCATTTTTATTTCTCGACTATTATCGGTTTTCGAGCTGGTATACTTACTATGTACAAGATCTACACTTTACACCTAGTTTTTTTTTTAATTTTTGCATGATGTTTTGATAACATTTTTATACTGCTTAAAATATATTAGTTGTTTTTAAAGACAAATAGATCACCGCATATTTTCGTGTTTTTTTTATATGCATTGCGCTAGGTTTTTTGTAACTATATAGGTACTTAGAATTAATATAATTAAATCGTTTAAACATTAAAACTTAGCTTAATATTTCAGAGAGAAATCTGTGTGTGTACTGAAAAGGGAGTGGCCTGAAGGTCGGCTGCTGTTCAGTACTGAGGAGCATATCATAGCCATGGAGGTTCTGACATCCGACAATAGTATCATGGTCATTAGCACAGATCATACGATGGCTTGCTACAGTAAAAAGGTTTGTTTTTTTAAATATTATTGTCTATTGTGCAGTTGTAAATCTAAAAGAGATTTTCTGTGGTGGTTAAGGGAGTGGTTAAGGGAGAAAAGTTATCTACTTGTGTATAAATAGAATATATGAGACGCTTGTAGAATGTCACGACTACATATCTTGCAACCATCAAAGTGCTTGCGTAAATAGGTGAGACAAAACAGACTTTATTACAAACTCTACATTCGTATGATATACCATTGCTACCTCACGCGACATATTATATGTTCAATACGTAGGAGTACAATATTGCTATGTATGACTCGTCAGGCGTTTTCCATTTAATGAATCTATTTGTTAAGTCTTAAATAATAATAATAATAATAATATACCTGGACTATTCACACAGCGCCATCTAGACCCAAGTTAAGCTAGCTAAAGCTTGTGTTATGGGTACTAGATAGCTGATAAATATACATAGATATTTTTTTTTGTAAATATATACATATTATACATAGAATAAATACTTAGATACCTTTTTTTTATAAATCTTACACAATATACATAGAAAACACCTAGACTGATACAAACAATCATACTCATGAATACGAATGTTTGTAACGTCTTAGTAATTGAAGTCTTAGAGTGCCTAGTACTAGGTGAGTTAGAGCGCGCAGTTAGATGGCGCTGTGTGAATTGTCTTGAGTTATTGACCCACATTATTCTGTATAAGATACCATCTCAAGACTTCAGTCGCTGTTACATGAAACCTTAACATACGCATAGAGAGACAGTTTTTGCTTCGTCACGAATTTATGATTTAATTACTTGTCAAAATAATATTTAGATAAAGATGCGTCAAGATTGCTTAGGTACTATAATGTGGTACCTAAAAATATTTACCGATTGGGATCAAGGCTTAATAAATATTAAGCATTATAAATTATTAGAGACATTTGAAAGGCAAAACGGCAAAGTCACGCGATCGTTTAGTATGGAAAGTTAGAAGTAAAAAGATTTGTCTGAATCTTTGTTTTTTATTGGTATTTTTATCATTCAACTTATGTTCTTGAGGAAAATTGTTCTACTGGAAATGTTTTGGTATTTAAAGTCTTTTAGTCGTTAAGGATATTTATTACTACTTATACACGTCCGTAATTTTTCACGATACAATTGTTGAGTTATGAGTTCGTGAAATGTTACAGGTTTTTACATACAATACAGTTTTCACTGCTAAGTAAAGGTTAGAATAATACTTGCTCCTTCTGTATCAATCAATCAATCATTCTGGACTGACGGTAGATTTGACATATCATAAGAGTCGGTAATAGACCTACATGTATAAAGATATTTAGAATTTAAATTTGTACTCATTATTGTACTAAATATATACAACGTACGCCTTGGGCCTAACCTTCAAGCCCTCGGGAGGTGTGGATGAACTGTGTCCATTTCAGGGAAAAAAGCAATGGTCTATGAACTTGGAACACAGGCCGGTGGCGATGACGTTGATACCAGTGATGCACCTGGGTGTGACTTTGACAGCCGTCGCGCTCGCCTCCGGACATGTCCATCTTTACGACGGGAAGGCACGTCGAGACACGTTATTTGTTAGAGGTAAAGTAAACCTTACATATAACTATTAAGGATTAAGTTAGATCTCTATAGGAAGTTTGATCGAAATCGAACCAGTCATTCATTTAACGGGAAGCTGTATAGGATAAGTTGTATGATTTTAGACACATCTTGACATCTTATTTAGTGCCCTCTCAACCTTATACAGTTAATATAGATCCCATATTCATTAATAAAATAAAAACCTGTAATATACATTTTGAATCAAATCTTAATAGGTAGGAATGAAGATAATATTTTAAGGAAAGTGTTACATATGAATGTGGATGGTTATAAGGGCGGAGCAAGGCCGAAAAAGATATGGATGAACTGAGTGAAAGATGATAAGGTAAGAAAGGGAGTAAATAACGAGATGACTGCGAACAGGGATGAATGGAAGAGAAAAATATATTACGCCAATATATTACCACAAATAAATGGAATAAGGAAGAAGCAGATGATGATACAGTTTGAATTTGACCGATTCAATCACGGCTAGAAAAGAGGAGAAAATTGATTCAAATAATTTATTTTAAAAAAATCTTTCATGTTAAAACCTTTTTAATTCAGATGTGGTATCGGTGATGAAATTCGGCCAGCTCGGTCAAGAGGAACATGTGCTGATCATTGTGACTGGTGGTGAGTAGATAAAGGTGGAATTAGAACATTTTGTACAACATGGGCTGTATTATAATATTCCTAGACAATTCCCAAGTCCTAAGTTAAGCAGAGCTTGTGTTATGGGTACTAGACTACTGGAATATTCGAAAGTAAAGTAACGTTCTAAACCGCTGACCACCGAGGCCGTAATGTGATAGAATTGAATACAGTATTGACAAGTAATTAATTAAATTCTGTGATTTAGTATCGACAGATCGTCGAGACTGATTGTCAGATTACAGTCAGTATTATTAATGATTAGTCAACAAAATTTGATTCGATGATTGAACAACAGAACTATCGATTTGTTAGATAGTATGTATGAATAAATCATAATTTAAACAAAACTTTAAAAAATACTTAATAATCATTTTTAAAATCTGTAATATTCTTGCTCTGCTATCTCTTCACAAGAAGAACGAGCTAAAAATACCTAGACCGATACAAACAATGATACTCATTAATACAAATGTTTGTAACGTACGAAGAATCTAACCTGCGTCCATCGGAAGTACGGTAGACCTTCGAGTCCCCGTCTACATTACGATCTGCCCTGATAGAAAACAATACTTAGCGGTAACGATAGGTGAGTACGAGGTTTCGACGCAGACGACTTCTTACAAAGTCTTCTTCGGTAACTAGGTGTTGTAGGTCCACTAATATGAATTGCACCCCCGGATGTCCGCCGCTAAGTGTTGTTTGAGACGGAGCAAGGGAAGTAGAAGTCGGATTCTCGTCAACCACTACATATGCACTCTCTACCCAATGCTCTCCTAAAAGCCTTCCAGCTTTCTCAGAAAAACGAGAGCACTTGCCCTATGACACTAATAAAGTCAAAGTCTTGATCTGTGGAATTTAAATCGACCATCTTCCTCAGATTTTGACAGACCAGCCGAATTTCTGCAAGCAGCGACCTGAATTGGCATTATTGTAAAGCCTTCAATAGACTGCGTACCCAACTTGCTGAAGTAGGGTATCGCTGCCCAAGATGTTTACGGCTACAGGGCTCCGTCCCATAAACATGTCCCATTTCCTCTCGTGCCCTTTGTGTCCAGCGTCTTGCACGATGGAAGATCTGAACAAGGCAGCCGATTGTGCCATTGAAGTTGCCATGTTCTGGTCTAAACATATTTAGGTTTACCATAGACACGAAAAAAGAAGACTGGGTGTTGTAATATTAAATACAGTATTTTATCGGATTTTTTCCAGTAATAAAAAAAACTGTATTTTCCAAAGGTGGGAACCTAATGTTGAAGATATTGAAACGGACCGCGGATTTTAACGGCCACGCGGCCGGCGTGGAGAATACAGCGAGCGCGGCGATCGCGCAAAAACCATGGCTGATACCGAAGAAATCCAAGTTGTTTCTAGAACAATCTGTCAGGGAAAGGGAGAATGCCAGCAGTGAGTGGATGACTGAATAACTTTTTAACTACTATCTATTAATGGCCAAAGAAATAAGGACAAACAGCTAAACATATATATAAAATATATAAAACAAGGAAAAAGCAAAAACGGTAGATCACAGACGAGACTATATTGATTTTTCAGAAATTAAGATGATTAGATTTCTGAAAACCATAAAATCTCTAATGAAGTATCCAGCTCTAGTATATTAATATAAATGATTTATACAAATGTCTGTTTGTAATTTCAAATTAAAATCTTTTACAGAGGTGAAATTACAAACGCGCATGAGGTTAAAAATTATTAAAATATTTTTTTTTTATGTCTCTCAATTTGTTCTAAAATAATGAACGTTAGGTTTATGTATTTATTTATTAAAGACAATATAATATAAACATACAGTTAATTGCGGTCAACCTTTCAGTGATGCACGAGATCTTTCAATTAGAACTGAACAAATTGCGTTTGCTTGCTGCCAAGACCCTTCTAGAAGCTTACGTAAAATGTGACAATTCTATAGGAGCGGGCGCATTGGAGCCCGTCCGACTCACAGCTGAGGTTAGTGTTAAGTAAAGCTTTATTATTGATGATAACCCTGGATAATTTACACAGCTCCATCTAGTCCCTAGCTAAGCAGAGCTTGTTTTATTGATACTGGACATCTGATATAAATACATAGGTATATACATTTTTTTGCAAGTTGTCTTTACATCTAGTAGGATGTATTATTTAAATAGTTTACTTCATTTGTGTAAAGTTTTATTTTCTGTAAGACATCCTGTCTACAAACCTAATAAATAAATTAAAAAACGTTTTTTATCAGATGTACTGCTGGTTATAGTTTTATAAAACTTTTCCATCCTGTTGTAAAGCTTTTAATATTTTCGTAGGTAGAGGGATTGGGTCCGGTCTTTCGTGTGGGGCTCATCATTGAGAACACATCCTCAGATAAGGCTGTCATCGGACTGTCCATACTGTTTCACGTTCACACGAGTAACTACAAGGTCTCCCATCCGTACATAAAGGTGCTGTAAAACTATATTAAAGGTGCATATTGACTGTAATTAAATGGGGTAGGCAGAAGCATAGTGGTACTTAATGGATTTATATTGACACTAGCGTATTACACTTACTTGATAAGTTTATATAATATATTTTTAAATTATCTCCTGTGTTATTTTGATGTATCTATAATACTGCGAAATTTCATCAAATTCCGTTCAGCAGTTTTTGCCTGAAAGAGTAATAAACATCCATCCATACTTACAAACTTTCGCGTTTATAGTATTAGTAAGACATATATGTAATATCTATATGTATATTGTATTGGACTTTAATACTTTAGTTTTACTTTAATATTAGAAACTAAAATACCATCCATCTCATCTGAATGAGTGGCAGCCCTCCAGTTTGCGTTTGTCAAAAACTTTTTGCCCCGCACAACCACATTCTGGAATCAACTTCCAACAATGGTATTTTTGAATCGATATGATATTGAAACCTTCAAGAAAAGAGCTTATTCCTATGTATATATGTATCCTTCATAAAGAGCCGCCAACCCACTCGCAATTTCTCTGGTGTTGCGGGTGCTCATGGGTAGCGGTAATCACTTATCACCAATGAAGCCTTAAGTATTCTATTATTAAAAAAATATTTTGCTTAATTCCATATGATTAGTATGTGTTTTGACCTCCGTTACAGAAAGCGTGGTCAGATCAAGGACAAGAATTGAAGGATATTCCTAGGAGCGATGGTTTTTAACTCCTCATTATAGAGCGTGTTCTTTCCAAAGCAGATGTTTTGTTTATGCATGAGTGAGCTAAAACTGCCACCACGTAGGATGTGTTTACTTTTTAACTTGGACAAATTTGCAAATTAAATTATTTAAAGTTTTAATAATGCAGTTTAAAACTGATGAATGATGATACACGTATCGGAACGTAAATATAGTCTGTGATTGATTCTGATCGATGATTCTACTATCATTCATCAATGTGTTGATAAAGTTATCAAATAATTGCATTGCGTAAAAGCAAAGCCGTAGTAGATTAGTATCAACCGATGTCAAAATAGGAGGAGATTCAATATTCAACTTTTATTGTGTGGTACCTGAACTTTTTTCTAGGTAAACAAATTGTGATCGTTCGTAGTCTGGTATATGGTAGTATTATTTATAACTTTGTTACTGAAGGAATATTTGGAATACAAATTGAATATTAAATAATGTAAAATAATCTTACTTATAAACGTGAAAGTTTGTGAGTGCAGATAGATGAGATTATTCTGCCACGTAAAAACTACTGAACGGATTTTGATGAAACTTTACAATAATATTGAAATATAAAAAATATATGGCTTATACATCTGCTATAAACCTCCAAATAGGCTAATAGGCCATAGGCTATAAATTTCACAGGGGTGAAATCGCGGACACAGCGTAATTTTCGTAAAAAGGTGTACAATTTTTTTTCCTAACGTATAGCATACAAATATTTTGTTATAATTTTTAAAATAAATCTTCTATTTCAGGTACCACTAATATCTCCAGGGTCAAAACTAAAATTTCCCACCAAAGTGGAAGAAGTGTTTGAAGAGAATATAAATCCTGATGTATTCTTCCGCACTGTTACCGGGCAGGGCGGGGAGGCGACACTAGTTAAGGTGCTCCTACTAAAGGAAGGGAAGACGGCTCCTGTGCTCGCCGCAACTGTTCAAATGCCTGCTACCGATCCTATGATGTTGCCATATGAGAAATTGCAGAGCACACAGAATTTTGATCAGAATGCAATATAAAACTTATAGTTTTTATTCATGAGTTATTTATTTACCACAGCCCTCTTTCAAAAACTACTGTAATCAGCATTATCATTGTCTATGTCTAGCATTCTATGCACTAAATGTGTTGTTTCATTTTTTTTAATGGATGATTATTTTATTTACTTCAGGCTACTAATGGCTTATATTTGACGGCTTCGGTGGTCTAGTGATTTGACACACCTCTTTTCTTACGATGTCGCGGGTTCGATTTCTCGCACAGTACAAAGATATGTATTCATGAGTATGATAGTTTGTATCGGTCTGGGTGATTTCTATATACATTAAGTATGTATTTACAAAAAAAAGTATTTATACTAGTTATCTAGTACCCATAACACAAGCTCTGCTTTTCTTGGGTTTAAATGGAGCTGTTTAATTTGCCTTGTATTCATCATCATCATCATCATCGCAGCCCGGAAGACGTCCACTGCTGGACATAGGCCTTCCCCAAAGATCTCCACGACGATCGGTCCTGCGCTGCTCGCATCCAATGCCTTCCAGCGATCTTGACCAGATAGTCGGTCCACCTTGCTGGAGGCCTTCCCACGCTGCGTCTTCCGGTCCGTGGTCGCCACTCGAGGACTTTACTGCCCCAACGGCCATCTTGTATTATTATTATTAATATTAAAATTTTCCTTTTCCAAAGTTGATAAAAAAAATGTCGTATATATGGCGCCAATTGCGTTAATCAGTAATAAATTATAACATACACGATTGGATTGTATCAGATAGAAGTCGTAAGCCGAAATAAGGCTAGTAACACCCGGACCCTAGTTATCATTTGTACAACGTTATTATATTTTAATTTATATACCTTTTGATAGGAATTGTTATGGGATGCAGCAGCTATCTGTCGAGGTTTCGAGAGACTACAGCATGGGGTTTTTCATTATATTAAGGGTCGGCTACGCGTACTTGACACCCCTGGCATTTCAGACGTCCGTAGGTTTATAGATTATAATGGAATGGTGCACTGCCCTGCGCTAACGGTTTACGCTGGCGGGGCTCCAGTGGAGGATGATAAGATTAGGATGAGGTTAGGCTAGTTAGCCCATCGTGATAAATTCTCCAAGATTTATCAAGATGGATTTCAAGGGGAACCGCGTGGAGGTCAACCTGACATGGTGCATTGCTAGCAATAAGAGCAACAGTCCACATTACTAATAATCCTCTTTCCCCCCAACGTCCATAGGTTAGGATGGACTGTAAGCTTGTTCGCCTCCGTCGTAGAATAAAAAAAGCAAGCTCTATGTTTTTTTTCCGAGGTATAAAAAATAAACACCCAAGATTATCCGTACAACGGAAGAGGGTACGATATGTGGGATTTTTACCAACTAAAAACAGGTTTATGAGAAAATAGAAATAATCTTTATTCAAATAAACTCAATACAAGCACTTTTGAATAATCATATTTTTGAATCTACCATACATTCGGAATGCAGATTCATCACAATAAGAATGAGCAATTTTTTGCTCTTTTGAATAGATGTGTTAGAGGGTAGCGTTAGGCTTCTACCTCAACGCTATCTCTGAATTCAAATTCAAATTCAAAAATCATTTATTCGTGTAGGACATTTTAGCCGCTTATGAACGTCAAGTTTTTGCATTATAATTTTTTTTCCCTACCGTCCAGTTCGGTATATAGATCCAATTGAGAAGAACTGGCAAGAAACTCAACTGAATTACTTTTTTTTAAATCCAGTTTATTTACAATGCATAGGTATTTATATAGGTGTCTATGTATAACATTAAATGAAAATCCCGAACATGAAAACTATTGCCATGCACGCTCGTCATTCAAGTAATCGTTTAGTGAGTAATAGGCCTTGCTCAGTAAATATGATTTAAGAGATGTTTTGAATTTATTTAAGGGTAATTCCAATATATCATTTGGTATCTTATTGTAAAATTTTATACCTATTCCCATAAAAGACCTATTGACTTTTTCTAAACGATACTTGGGGACAGCAAGTTTGTCTTTAAATCTAGTATTAATATTATGAATATTGCTGTTTTTTGGAAATAAGTAAAGATTTTTATGAACATATAGGATATTTGAATATATAAATTGAGAAGCAACGGTGAGAATATTTGCCTCTTTGAATTTCTCTCTTAATGAGTCACGACTCTTCATACAATAGATCGCTCGAATGGCACGTTTTTGTAATGTGAATATATTTTTAATATCTGCCGCTTTTCCCCATAATAATATTCCATAAGAGAATAAACTATGAAAATAACTGAAATAGACCAATCTACCAGTATCAGTATCAGTGTACTGTCTAACCTTACACACGGCAAAAGCTGCTGAACTCAGTTTCGCTGCAAGACTTTGAATTTGTGCCCCCCATTGTGTTTTATTATCTAATGTGATTCCTAGAAAGACAGTAGATTCTATAAATTCGAGAGATTCGTCATTTAATTTTATGTTGCAGTTACCTAGTATTAAAACTTTTAGACAGAGAAAAATTGACACATTTTGTTTTTTTAGCGTTTAACATAAGATTGTTAGTTGTAAACCAGTGCAAGAGACGTCGCAAACCACTATTTACATCGTCATAATTATTAGTCATTGTATTAATCGATTCCACCTACAGCTAGGTGATGTTGTCAGTATTTCATCACCGATTTGAAATTATCAAAAATTTTATAGGATCATTATTATATTTATTTTTATAGTTTACAATCACAAGTGGGCAGAGGATTTATAAACTGTCGATGGGGCACTTTTTTTTAACCCAACCTGACAGGGGCTATGTTAATCGCTATCTATTGTTTTTATATTGATCAATTCAAATCAAATCAAAGTATATTTATTCCTGTAGGTTTATTACACACTCTTATGATGTGTCAGATCTACCGTCAGTTCGGAGTGCTTTCGAGCTGAGAAGAACTGATAAGAAACTCGGTTTTCTTCTTCGTTTCAAATGCTTATACAAATGTTTACAAAAATACAAATTCATTGTTGATATCGGTGATACTTTCACCGGAGAGAATATAAACTGACACAAAGTTTTCATTTATATAAAAAAATACATTGTTTTTTTTTTAATTTCGCAATTTAAGACTGACCTATCGTAATAATATCTCAGGTTTATATTGATATATCTACCATATTGTCAAGATAAGATGTCCCTTACGTTAGATTACTCATCTGATAACGTCAAAAATAGTACCTACCTACCTACGGAAATAAATCTCGAAACCAATATGGGTGGCAGTCATGAGATTAGATGTAATATGTAAGTATAATAATAATAATAATAAGGATCTTGCAGTAGAGGTAAGAACACAATGGCGAGCTGATACTGTACACACTGTACCTATTGTACTTTCTTCTACCGGTATTGTACCCAAAACACTTAAAAATAGTCTGCAAACATTAAACATTCATCCATCCAAAACATATCTCCTACAGAAAGCCACAATATTAAATACCTGTCGCATAACCCGAAAATTCTTAACCTCCTCAACAATATCTTCACCCAGCACAACCTCTCCCACACTTGGCTAAGGCCCGTGTAGGTGAGTATTACCTTCTTTTAAATCCATAAAAGAAGAGAAAAAAAAAGGAAAAAAAAAAAAATAATTCTGCCGGGGGTAAGTTGCCATCTCCTCTCCTTAAGAGGGGAGATGAGATTTCTTTTGGAAATATAAAAAAAAAAATAATAATCTGTAATAATCTAATAGATTCTGCCCGCATTGTACGCCGGTTTCTCTCCCTGGGGCCCTGTACTTCTGCCGGGGGTAAGTTGCCATCTTCTCTCTTTAATTTTTTTTAAGTTCAAGACATAATAATCTCAGACAATTCACACAGCGCCATCTAGTCCCAAGTTAAGCTAGCTAAAGCTTGTGTTACGGGTACTAGATAACTGATACAGGTACATAGATATTTTTTTTCGTAAATATCTACATATTATACATAGAAACACCCAGACCGGTACAAACAATTATACTCATGAATACAAATGTTTGTGCCGTGCGAGGAATCGAACCCGCGACCATCGGACGTAAAGCGGTGTGCTAGACCGCTAGACCACCAAGGTATATTATATTGTATACATACCTACATATTACATTTTTTTTAAACTATTGCAATGTAATGGGTTGCATTGCAACGTTAAAAAAAGTGTATGGATTTTGCGAATAAATAATTTACTTGACGTCTCAGTGATTAAGTTGTCAAAATCTCATCAGACAAGTTCGAATTTGCCGCCCCTAGAACGTGCCGCCCTGGGCATGGGCATGCCCCGTGTTGGTTGTATGTATCCTCATATGATTCATAGGCCTTGACCAAGGCTCATAGAGCAAAATTAGCGCCTGCCAAAGGGCTATGGAGAGAAGTATGATCGGCGTACGAAGACTGGACCGAGTAAGGAACAGTGATCTTATATTGAGGACGATAGTAACAGACATATTGTCAAAAATAGACCAGCACAAGTGGCGATGGACTGGCCACATGATGCGTGATACTAGGAAAAAATGGAGTAGAAAAATAACAGAGTGGTATCTTAGAGACGGAAAGAGAAAGTGGGGAAGGCAGATGATGAAATGGGAAGATGAGTTGAAGTCAACTGTGGGTACAAAATGGAGAAGAGTTGCACAGGATAGGAATCACTGGAAGTCGCTGGAGGAGGCCTATGCCAAAAGGCACACTGAAATTAGAGATATATTATAAAAAAAAAATTGTATATTATAGTTAAAAATATTTGTAAATTTCAGAATAAATGGCTTTATTATTGTTATTATTAACTTCATATGTATTTAGTAAACTAATTTTGAAGTTAAATTTTAAGAAGTAATTTTGAAGTTATAAATAGACACTTAATTTTTATTTATTACTGTACATTTGTGACCACAAATGTACAGTAATAAATAAGTCAGGTCAGGTTTCCGCACTGAACATTTGTGTTCTCACACAAGCTAATGGCTGTGGATAGTTAATTTTAAACTTTCGTGTTTAGTGCAACCTAGTC